AAGCCTGCTTCTCCCTCTCCCACTCCCCCTGCTTGTGTTCCCTCTCTCACTGTGTCTCTCTCTGTCAAATAAATAAAATCTTTTAAAAAAAAAAAGTCACTTATTTGCCTTGCTTAAGATGGTAAAATTTTAAACTTACGTAGTATTTTGTAACAATATAGTAGATTTACAAGTAAATAGTTCATTTTGGTTATTTATGTACATTGTACGCTCTATACAATCAACAGTGTAGTATAGGTTTTTAAACTATTCCCCATTGGTTTGATTAATAAACTTTTTTGGGGTAAAAACTTCAGAACTATAGATCTTTTCTAAGTTTTTGAAGTCTGAAGAATTGCATTTTTTTTTTTTAAAGATTTTCTTTATTTGACAGAGAGAGCACACAAGCAGGGGGAGAGGGAGCTGAGCAGGGAGCCTGATTGAAGAATTGCATTTAACTGGACTTGAATTATTTTGCACTATTATTACATATCTATCCTGTATTTATATACTCACACTTAAGTATAACTTGCAAACTTTAATGTTAGAAAGCAAACAAATTTAACAACAACCATTCTATCTCCTTTCTCTTCTAGTTTACTTTTATATTTGATGTATTTACGTGTGATACACAGATTGTGCCCTACTCTGTGCTGCTTTGAGTTTCCTTGTCCTCATCCTTTGGTTTAGCTTCTTTCATTTCTTACCAATCTACTTATGCTGACAAAGGCAACTAACAGTGATGCAAAAAAGACTTCATTTCATGACCATCTACTTATAGCTCGTGATATCTATAATCCCAGATTTCGTAACTATAGATCATTTAGAATTTTTGACTGGGTTGACTCAGGATTTTTGGCATAAGAGATGTGGTGTGCTTTTTGGCTTCTCGATAGCACTTAACATTCACCGAGTAAGCCCTGTCCTTGGTTTCTCTTGCAGTCCAATCAGTGAAAGCCGCAGAGTTCTACAGGAGTCATGTGAGTTCTTCTTAAAGCACAATTCTAAAGTTAAACACAAAAAGAAGCACTGCAAACCCAGTTCGCACAAGCTGAAGGTCATTTCCAAATCCATGGGAACCAGCACAGGCACCACAGGAAATCACGGCACGTCCTCGGTGGCAATCACTAACCACGATTACTTAGGACAAGAAGCTTCGACAGAAATACCAACCTCCCCAGAGACGTCCGTGAGAGAGGTGAGAGCAGATGGAGCGAGCACCCCCAGATCCAGAGAAGAGGACTGTGGGGAGCCGGCCTCCCCAGCAGCATCCAGCTCCAAACTCTGTGGGGAACAGGCCGACAGGAAAGGCCGGGCAGGCAATGGGAATGATAAGATCAGCGTGTCTGAAAGTACGCGGAGTGAAGGAAGGTGAGCTTGGATTTTGTTACCTTAAATCGGGACTACTTTGAATACTGCATTATCCGTTTTTTATTAAAGCATAGCACATCTGGAAAGAAAATGTTCTAGGAGAGGACATGTCCATACACTTCATCCAAGGAAGTTTGGCTTTAAGAAGTTTGGGTTCAGCCTATAAATGTGCTATTCGGTAGTTTGATTCTTAGCTTGGAAGAGAGCCTTCGTGAATGTTGTTCAAGTAGGAAAGTGATGTTCATTTCGATGGCAGTTGTTAAGTGTTGCATGTATATTTGGGTAAATGTTTAAGATCCTTCTGAAATACAGGCTATTAAGTTGTAATTAGCACCGTATCATAGTACTAAAAGGCAGTTGTCATTTCATATGAAGATGATTATAAAATGTTTTTTATTTTCTGAACATGAAAGGATATTGACATTATCTTTAATGAATTTTCCCAAATGGTCATAGGTGATCCAAACACAGGTAAACATCGAATTAGCCAGAATGCCGACAGCTAAGTACTTTTAGGTCTCAAGGTTGTCTCACTTCCCTCCTCCCAGACTAAACCAGATGCACCTTCTTTGTGTTCCCATAACCGCTTTTGCAGACTGGATTCTAAGTAGATTTGTGCCTTTGAAATAGATATGTGCTCTGATAAGGGTGGATGCTGCTTGGGAGTAAAACTCATGAGAGGGGGATGGCAGTGGGTGAGGACATTTGGCCTCACGTGTGTGCTTTGGTCTATAGTATGTCACCTTTCGTCTTTTTACCTAGGGTGACTGCAAAAAGTGACATCACTGAAGCCGGCCCAGGGCAGAGCTACAGCTTGCAGGCCCCAGGTTCCTCGGAGCCGGGCAGCCCAAGAGGCTCCACGTCACTGCTCGTTCACTCGGCTTCTGGGGGCAGAAAAGAGCAGGGCCCCGGCAGTCACTCTGATACCTGAGGGACAGGTTCGCCCGCCGCTGAGAAGTGGATTTGTGTTACACTGGAGGGGACAGCGCGCTGTCTCATCAGTATCCCTGTTCTGTTCTTTTGCACCGACAGCTACATTGCGGGCTGTTACACTGGAAACAGTAGATTCCGAGAATAAAAGGATTCATTTCGCACAGAGGTTAACGATGACCGTGTACCCAGAAAGCAGAAATGTGCTGGTTAATAATATTTTTTTAAGTTGTGTGGGAGGAGGCAGTGAGAGGAATCTTCCTTTTCTATTTATGAAGATTCTACTCTTGTTAAAAGTATTTTAAGATGTACTATATGCTATTTCACTTTTATGGTATAAAATCAAGATATTTCTTTGCTAAAGTATTTAAAGCTTATCTTTGTATCTTTTTTATATATTTGAAAATAAGTTTATATGTATTTGAACTTTTTTTAGGAATCCTGGAAAAGCTATCCAACTATTTTTGTTATGTTCTTCTCAGATTTTAGCACTACTTTGGTAGCTTTGACACTGAGTTTCTAAGAAAATTGAAAAATAGTATTCTTTTATAGTATAAAAAATATTTGACACACCAGAAGGTGTTGTAATGGAATCCACTTATTCCACTTTATCATCTTCCCTGTGTGAATTTTATAAAGTCTTATTGTTTTAGGAATTTCATACATCTGTTATGCCACTAAAATAAGGTGCTTGATGTCCAGTGTTGATTGTATTATGCTGCTCTCTGATCCTTCTACATTTTTAAATAGTATGTCCTGAAGGATTAGATGAAATTTACTCTTTAGAAATTAAACCAAGGACAATTGATTTCCTTTTTAAAAAAAAATGTTTTATGACCACTCAAGATTGTATTTTTATGACCATTTATAGTTGCTTATACTTTTAACTTTTGCTTTTTAACATTTAGAATTCTAAAGTTTGTACAGTATCTTTGTCAGACATTATGTAGAATTCATTTCTGTACTTAAATAGGATTTTGCTGAATATTTAAAAGTGTTAAAAAAATATGTTAGCATTAGTGCCAATCAAATGGGAAAAAAAATGTGTCTTGATAAAATGTATTTTATATAACGTACTTTAAAATATTAAAGAATTTTCTTAATTTTATTTCCAACTAAGTGTTATACCTTGAACAATGTTTTCTGATGGTTTTGGTTTTTTCCTCTATTTAGCATTCTATTAGGCATAAGAGAAGGATTATCATGTACTGTATGGAAAATGTAAATATTAACTTTTCCACATTTTGAACTTTGTATACAAAAACATTGTGTGATCTCTCCAGTAATAAAATTTTCTCTGTGTAAGAGATTGTGGAGTATTCTGTGCTTATTCTTAGTGGTCCTGACCCAGGAAGTGGTAGAATTTTTCAGATCAGTGGCTCCATGACTAATAAGCCCGAAGTTTGTTTGTTTTAAAGATTTTATTTATCTGACAGAGACACAGCAAGAGAGGGGACACAAGCAGAGGGAGAGGGAGAAGCAGTGACTTTATTAACGTATCCTAGTCACTCTAATAATTTTATAGTTGGTTTTTCCTGGATTTTCAATGTAGATGATCTTTTCATGTCAAATAATGGTAATTTTATTTCTCAGCTATTAGCCTGAACTGGGAACCCATCACTGTTAATAGCGGTGTCAGCGGGCATCCTGGTCTTGTTTATTTGAATGAGAATGTCTCTAGTATTTCATCATTAAAAACAACGTTGGCATTTGATAGAAGATAGATCTTTTTTCACTAGTTAATAACGAATCCTATTCTGACAATTTTTTTCAAATTAGCAGTAGGTGCCGAATTTTATTGAATGCCTTGTTGCTGTATTAGTCAAGGTAGGCTAACTGCTGTAACAATCCTCAAGATGGTAGCAGCTGAAGGAACAGGTGCAAATGTTCTTGAGGTAGCCCTCCAACGGATTCTTCAAGGACCCACCACTTCCAGCTTCCGATGCAGCCATCCACAGCCATCCCTTAGAGCTGCAGATTCTTTGCAGGATTCTCTGCACCCAGCCAGTAGATGGAGGAAGAGAGAGTAACCGATTGCACAGGAAGATTGTTATGGGTCCGAGTGGGAAGTGGCACACATCATTTCCAGCTACATTCCACTTGCCAGAACCCAGGCACAGAATCACACCTAACTGCAAGGCAGGCTGGGAAATACAGTCTAGGTGTGTGCCTGGGCTGGGGGGGGCGGAGGGGGGGAAGGAGGAACCACCTTACTCAGTCATTGGCCAGCAATGTTGCAATCTACAAATCTAATGTCGTAAAATAAATTTCCCAGTATAATGCCATTCTCTCCTTCTTTGAATAATTCAAAGTCATCGTGGTGTATCATTTAATATCCTGCTGGATTTGATTTGTTAGCAATTTAAGATAAAAATGTACATCCATACCTACCTGTATTCTAAATGATTCCTCAACCAGGAACATAGCATTTGTAATCAGTAAGCCTAAATTTTTAAAAATATTCTATTTCTAAGAGCAGACTTCGAGACTATCATCTAATTCAAAAGAAAACAGCAGTTTCTCTTTTTCATGAGACCAGAGTCTGTGATGCAAAAAGAGCCAACTGTTTCAGAAGTGGTGACTTCAATTTTTATAAGAATTACAGAGCATTTTTTGACCAAGAAAGTGGACCTAAATTACAGATTTACATTTACAATAACAATATTGGCATGAGCATTGTGCAGCTCAACTCCACAGCAGAAAAAATATAAAGCATTTCACCTTGAAAATCAGCCACAAATCAACCAAATTTTATGGAATGCCATCTTTCAAAAAGTACATCCATTAGGATCCATCTGCTAGGTTATTTATGGTAGTGAAGGAATCTTTCCTAGACTTCCCTCGAAGAACTAGACCAAAAACAGCTTGTAATTACCATCGATCATCAAAATCACCACTTTAGTGCTTCCTTACTTCTCAGAAATATGCCACTGGTGGGCTCTTCCAGTTACCACTGCTGGAAAGTTTTAACGTTGCCAAGGCAAGCACTGGTACTCTCAAGAAAGGAAAGATATATTTTTTAATAATCACAAGAAGCCTTGCTATAACTCTTCTGCATGGAAAGCGTAATCTTTAATACCTCACTGCCCCCAGCACAAGTCAAAGACTGAAAGTTCCAGACGCTGAAGGTTTTTAACAGTGGCCACTGTGATCTGTATGTGCAGAAGAATCAAACTTTCATTAACTTCTTTGCACCAACAGAGAGAGCAGACAAGATTAAAAGCCTAATCCAAACTTCTCCAAATGCATTGGCACCCAGAGCTGAACCGTAGGGGTGAAGGGTGAACAGCGTAGGAAAGTCTGTTGTGGACACCGCTGGGGGTGGGGAAGCAAAAGGTAGCCTTATGGAAAAAGTAGGGAAGAGGAAAAGAAGGAAGGACTAGAAGTGGTAAACACTAGTTAGAAATGAAAATAAATGAAAAAAATGACGCTAAAATGAATAAATTTCACCAGCCAAATCCAAGGCTTTTATTTTCCATCCCTAGAAGGAAAAAGGAGAAAACCAGAAAAACTTCTAAGGATATCCACCACAAAAGGAGGGGTGAGAGAGAGAGAATCTACTTAAGTTTCAACAGAAACATCTTAAAGTTTTTCAAATAAGCCATTTTCTCCAAACTCATGCCATTTATTTACATTATTATCACAAATATTTCCTACTTAACGTGGCTTGGATACGGAGTTTTGACATAAGTGCAAAGAGTCTGTTAAACTCGATGTTTAATAATCTACATATTACGTTCAGAAAATGTTGAGAGCAAAAATCAAGAAAGATTAAGAAAAGTTTTTCTTAACAGCAAAAGAAAATAAAATACCTTAATATTTTCTCCACCTTATTTTCTAAGGTGCTAACTAAAGTAAAACTGGCAAGTTTGTGGGTTTATTTTCTTGGGAGCCTATTCTAGGATCTAATTAGTTTCACGGTCAGAAAATATATAAGGCTGAATAGATTTTAGACTTTATCTGGAAAAATTCACAAGTATAAGCTCCTGTAGCCGTTTTCATCCTTTCGAATGGCCAGTCCAGTGGCCCTCATGTAAACCTTCGTGAAACCGAAACCTCCAGAGCCGGTAAACAAAGTTGACCACCGGCAAAATCTTTGCTGGCACTTGCCGCCACCTCTATCCGGGCAGGCTCCAAGGGAAGGAGAATGGCACGCTGTGTTTCTAGAGCTGACCTGGTTGGCATGCGGTGGGCGAAGAAAAAGTACAGTAAAACAAAACAGGAGGACTGTGTTTCGTCGACTGACCGTCATCACTGCCTCTTTGTCCCTGGTCCTCAGGCTCTGGGCAGGGCTTTCCAGGCCTGCCCCGCAGACACGGAGAGGCTCCACCGTTTTCTTGATGAAGCAAAGACCAGGAAAGGGGCAAATACACCCGAAACCAGGGGGAGGGAGCCTCAGGGACTTCAGAGGCAGGGCAGAGTCTGGCTACCCTGGACACTTGGGAGAGATCTAAACAATATAAAATCCTGTCCTCTACTCACCAAGTGTCCAGAGCGATTGGAGGAGAATGAATCCACGTGTGAAAGAGGCGAGAACACCTAAAGAATTAGCACTTAAGAGGAATGAAATCTAAAGCCACGGATGCGGAAGAGTTCCAAGGCATTGTTATGCACCAAAAAGCAAGTCCCAAAACTATACTTACAGAATACCGTGTATGTAAACCCTCCCCCATAGAACCGTACTATGTTTTCTCTTGTTAAATATACATGTATCTAAATGCATAATGATACCATGCATGTAAGCAATTCCTCTCCACACAGAATAACCCTGTATATGTTATATAGATACATAAATGTAAATGCACAAGAAGACTCCAGAAAATGTGATAACATGCGTGATCTCTGGGGAGGAGATCAGCCTTGTAGGTGATAATCAAAGCAGACTTGAACCCAGTCTGTAATGTTTAAATTTTTATAAAGAGAATCTGTTAATATATCATGTGGTGTAATTACAAATTTTTTTTTTTTTAAGAAAATTTACTGAGCCCGGATCTAGCTGATGCTGCTGCAGTGGGTCCAGCCCAGCTGCCTGAGGGGGACGGAGCCTGCGGGCAGTCAAGGCCTCCTGCTGTGAGCCGCATGCCTTGCGGGGGGGGGGGCAGCAGACCCCACTGAGACCCCAGAAGGCCCCCAGTTCATCTAGTGCAAACTTTCTTTGCTTCTTCCCTGCTGTGCTTCTCAGTCCCCGAAGCCATTTTCTCTTTTGTTGGCAATCCCACAGGTGTTTTGAGAACCTCTGTGCCTACTTCTTTCTCTTGAGACCCTTCCCGAGACTCTACTCCTACCCCCACGAGTAAAGCTTAGACCTGCTTACTTAATCCCAGCACTGGGAGACACAGGAGGCCAGACGACCAATCCCCCAGGATGTGATATGGAGGGACACAAGGGAAGACTGAAGTCCTCAGAAAACCCATGATGGCAAATTCTTTCCATCCGCCACACCCCCCGCCTCACCCACATCTTAAGTGCCCCGGGCCGTGGATAATTCATACTCACCAACTTCAGAAGTGAATGCAGAAGTCTGAGGGCTGAAGGTCAGGGAGAGTCTAAGGCTAAGGCGTTGGTGACTTTCGGCAGAAGGCAGACCCCTGTCCTTCTCCAGAGACTCCCCCAGTGCATTCACGCACCCCTGAGAGCAATGCAGTCGGCCCAGGCTGCTGAGTTCAGACGGGGCATGTGAGAGGGATGTTGGCCATTTATAACTGGCTCTGTTCTAGTAGCTACAGCGAGGTATTCTCAGGGACCACCCCGTTTTGATCAGCAGCTCCCAGTTGGCTGGGTAGTTCCAAACTTGGGAAGAACTGTGAAGGCCAGATGTTTCTTGTCTGTCCCTGCCTACTGCCAAAACAGCTGAGAGATTAGCTCTTGCTTTTAGAAAATGCCTTAGTCCTTTCCCTCCAGAGCAGGTGAGTCAACTTTTCCTCTTAAAGTGTTTGCCGAGAGCAAAAATAACGTTCCTACCCACCTGACACCTAAGCCGGAGATTCGTTATTTTTAATCGGGGAGATAAAATACCACATACGTTAGCCACAGATAAGGCCCAGCTGTGTCCTGGGAGATTACTGGAGCTTTCCGAGGGATCCCTCTCTCCCTACTGGATGTACCGCTCACCTCTGGAGCACAAGCCAAGAAGAACACGTAAGTTATATTTTGGCAAGATTATATACACACTATAGATCCTGAACTCAGTGACTCCCGATAGCTATTTCGTTCATATGTTTTGGTTTTACGGTTTCTGCAGAATGAGAGGCTGGTGTCCATACTGGATTGTGTTCCTCCTGTGAGCTGCAGTCCTTCGGCGTCATTT